TGGAGAAGTCTTCCTTGAGAGGAACCTCAAATATCTCCTGGGGTAAGACTCTCCATGCCTCCCACTGTCCAGACCACTGGCACCCACAGAGCCATTCACAGGGCCTCCTCTGCTGGTAAAGGCCATGTTTGGCCACTTCTGGCCACTCCCCACCCTCCACTTGTTGCTGCTGCTACGTTGCTGTGTCCACTTCAAAGATGCTGGGGCCACCTCTCCTGCTGGTACAGGTGCTGTTAGTGCTGGTGCCACCGCCACCGCCAGTGCTGGTGCCACTGCCACCACGCAAGTGCCACCAACACTGCCAGCGCCGGGCTCACCGCCGCTGCTGCTAGGTGGCGTAGAGGAGCGAGGAGCTTTTGTGTGCTGTTTGCTCAAGTTTGCAGGCAGATGGGGGACAGACTGAGTGACAGGACACCATGAAGCACAGTCATCCCTCGTTATCCAGGTGGGACTGGTTCTAGGACCAATGCGGTTATCAAAATCTCAAGTTCCTTTACAGAATGTCACAGTATTTTTATGTGACCTGTAATCCCCTCCTTCATACTTGAAATCCCTTGAGATGACTTACAATACCTTATACGGTGTAAGTAACTGCTATGCCAGATTTAGAGGAAATGACAAGAACAAAAGGAATATAGGTGTTCAAGGCTGATGCACATTTTCCCAAAAAAATATTTTCCATCCATGCTTAGTCGATCAAACCCATGGATATGGACTAGAGGATGCTAGGGACCCGCTGTATTCAAATAAAGCTTCACTCAGGACTCTCTCGGGATTTTCAAGAGACAGATTACTTGGTCCCCCAGGCAAACAGATTCCTAGAATGCCCAACTCACTCCCAAGACATCTGTACAGGTGGGGGGAGACAGTGAGGGCCAAGTTGAGACCTGCTTCCTGCCCCCCCACCACCCAGGTGTAGCCGATCAGGTGTCTCTTTGTTCTGCTGTTAGGAAGCTGAGGACACATTGGAGGCCCACCTTTTAAGAGTCAACAGGACCTCATGGCAGTCAAGCTTACCCTTGACTTTGCCCAGTTCTCCTGTCAGTCCTGTTTCTCAACAGTATCTGTATCATTTTATTGTAACATATGTCTAAAATGTCCCTTGTAGAATGATACAGAAGGCTACACAAGTAAAATAAAATTAAAAACGAACAGCTGGAGTAAGAATGTTATGTTACACATTTTAAAAAGAAAAGCCCATTTCTAAATTTGTTGTGTTTCATTAGGGATTTTTTTTTTTTTCCTGTAGGCTTCAAATAAGCTGAAAATCTTGACCAACTGACTTGGTATTTCCAGATAGAACACAGAGCTCTGGGACGCTTACTGTACCAGAATTACAGGTGACTGTTCACCTCTACGCCCTTGATGGACAGTCATGGAGACCACCGCTGGACCTGGCTGGCACAGCCCCACCCTCCACCTCCTCCACCCAGACTCCTTTCCTGGAGTCCTGCAGCCCAGGTGGGCTAGAATAACTAATTCAAGGTAAGGTTTTAAAGCTGCAATTCCACACCTTGCCGGCAGACAGGTGGCACGATCCCCAAAGGAGGGGGGTCACATAATTCATAGAACCCAATGTAAAATGAAAATGCAGGACCCCTCATTCAAGGGGCTGCAGGTATACCTGAGTGGTAGGGACATGGGTAGAGTGTACAAGGCCCTGGATTTCATTCCGAGTCACAAAACAAATACATCAAATTCAAGATGACAACGATAGACCATCAGACCTCCAAAGGGCCTTGTGTGACCGCACAGTCAGGTGTCCAGACAGCCTTGCACTGAAGATATATAAAGGTGTATTTCAGGAAGTTATTTTTATATATAACCACAAGTTCTGATCTTCATGGAAGAATGCTGAATATTTGCAAGTATTTTTAAAAAATTGAACAGAAAACCTTGCAGTCATGCCATTCCTACAGAGGTACCAGTTGGCTCAGTGCTGCCATCTGGATTCTTTGGGTGCCAAAGCATGAGGAACTCCATCATACCTGTTACCATGTTTTCATCCAAGCCTCCATACCCTGCCAGAGTGCTGCAGCAAGGCAGGGAGGGCAGGGGTAAGGCCCTTGTTCCCGCCAGAGACCATCAACAGAGGTGAAGGAGAGGGTGCTGTCCTGGAACTCTACCCGACTCCCCAGATCTCATGTGAGTATCGTATACACATTCATACACATATAATTATATTCATATACATATAATTAATTTCAACTTTCTAAAATTTGACCAACATTGACTTGTCTTGTACTCAGGCTGTCCTCGGTACTTGGTCATTAGTCAGCCTGGCCATTACAGGGAGCACTGTGGGTGTTTGTGGCAGACAATGGCACCTGTGCCCACCATCATGAATAAGGGCAGGCTCCGGGAACTAAACGATGAGAGGAAATGCTTGAACAAAGGAGGACTTGTCACTACCTGTGACAGTGCAGGGAGAAAGCTAAGGAATACTGTCCCACCTGGGCCTCCTCTTCCTCTGCCGAGCTTTGTGACCCACACATATCACGATGCACCCAGGCAGAGCTTGGGCCAGGGTCACATTGCATCATCCCAGCTACCAGGCAGCCAGAGGAAAGCAGGATGCAAAGTCAAAGAGACCAGGTAACACAGGTAAATTCCAAAAGGCTGCAACTGCTCTTCTCTCCCCACCTCTCTTGCTTTCTTTATAGATACAAATACATGAGCATGTTAATTTATGTATATAGCTATATGTGTAAACTTTGGTACATGTATCTCTATGTGTTTGGTATATATGTTATATATGTGTATATTAAATATTAAATATGCATCTATGTACATATATTAAATATGTATGTGTATGCATACATAAGGCAAGAAGACAGGAATATATATGTATGCATACAAGTGTAGATATAAAATATGCATGTGTATATATTTGTATAGAAATACATAATAAATATGAATATGTTATATTATGCATATATGCACATCTATATGCATATATAAAGAGCATGGGAGGCTGAGAGAGAATGTGAGTATCATATACAAATACATACACATATACAGTACAATTAATTTCAATTTTCTAAAATTTGACCAACATTAAGAGTCTCTGCCATGTCTAGGCCTTATCCTGGGCACAAGAACACAAACTTCAACGAGTGTCACCCACCTCAAGGAGCTCACCATCCAGAGAGGAGACAGACTAAAACCTCTAATACCCAATCTATCAGCATGGTGGCATTTATAAAGGAAGGCAGCATAACTTGGTGGATCTGTGTTGAGGGTGGTTGATGACAAGGACTTCAATCAGCCACGCTGGCTGGTCCAGCTCCTGGCCCACCACCTTGAACCAGTGCAACATCAAACATGCAGCTTGAGCTGCAGGATCTTCATCATCAACATAAAGATCCATAATAGTGCCTTTGTCACACCGGCTTCAATGGCACACCAGTGGAAAGCCCTGATGCCTCCTGGCATCCAGAGGCCCTCAATAAAAAGAAGCTGTCATGATTACTATGATTATTGTTACAATGATTAAGGACATAAGGTTGTGTAGGGGCACCAAAGAGAGAAAGGTCAATCTCACTTGGGAGGGATCAGCAGCAGCTTCCTGGCAGAGGTGAGATGGAGGTGAATCGTCCCTAGGAACAGGTGCTTGTCAGGAGAACAAAAGGGAAAAGGGCTCATTCTGAGGATAAGGAAGAGCTTGTTCAAGGGCTCTGAGGCATGAAACATCCCAGCATGTCCAGAGAACTGCAGGCAGATCAGGACCAGAGTAAGAGTTCACGGACAAAGAGAAACTAGAGCCAGCTCTGGAAGGGCCACCCAAAACCCTTCACAATGGAATAATAACTCAGATCTGCCTGTCAGAAGGTTTAGGAGATAGTCACCAGAATGTGACTTCACTTTAGGAGGGCAGGCTCCCCCCTGGGATCAGGTATCCCGAATACCCCAGGAGGACATTATGCCTTAAGGCAGAGGACTGTTCATCTGCCCTATCCTCCTCTGCTCACAAATCTTCAAAAGCTTCTTGTTTTAGTTTTCGTAACTAATTGGCTTATTTTTCCATGCTGATCTGGATGCTGTTGAGGGCTTTCATTATAACTAATCCTTTCCAGAATGATTTTTAAATACTCATCTTCCCAACCACAAGGAGAGGCTTAAGTGGCCACTTTTTAGCTCTTATGAGAGCCACCCAAATCGTTTGCCCTCAGAGAACAAGCAGCAGTTGCATTTCTGCAGGTCCGGACTCAGAGACAGAGGTGGGTGTGGGGGGCAGAGCCAAGACAGGAGTGAGAACAGGTTCCTAGGAGCAAACAATGCCCCAGACAAAACCAGCATGAGTAAACAACAGTCCAGGCACAGGAGCAGCCAAGAGACCAGGAGGTCACCCAGAAAGAGGAACAAGAACCTGTGCTGTGGCGGGAAAGGGGCGGACCCAACAGGACAGGGCAAAAGTGCAAAGTAGATCTTTACAGGGAAGTTGGTGACAAAGGAGGTCCCTGGTGGTGGGGACTTTGAGACAGTCAATGAAACCGTTGGACCCTGTCTCCATCAATCTGTTCACTCATCATTCATGAGGTCAGCCGATTAGTCAATTCTATTTATTTCTCTTTGTTCAAATGTGTCCCAGACTCTGAAGCTGCGGAGCCCAATCAGCCTCTGGTCTGTGGCCTGGAGCTCCCCTGCTGGCAGGCGGAGAAGGTAACTCCACACCACGGGACGGGACGTGGCCGCGACCAGGAGGGTCTGTGAGGGCGGGGAGGGGGTCACCTGGCGTGTCCCAGGTATCCTCCTAGGTGTGCTTACCTCATTTGTCTTCTTCACTCTCCTTTGTCAAAAATAGACAATCTACTTTTCCTGGCCCCAATTTACACTGTGTCATATTGGAGAACAGAGAAGCAGTAAGTGGGGAAGGGGTGCTCAGACAAGGAAAGGAAGAAGAGAGCCCAGAGCTCCCGATGCCTTCCTGTTAGACCTCCCGCTCCTTCCCAGGACTGCCTCTGGATTTGGGCTTAGATTTTCATAAAACAAACATTGACTTTTCCATTTCATGCTTTCCTTTAATTTTAATGCAGCATCCCTCCCCAGATGCCCTTGTGGGAATCCTGTCATCGTGGTTCACAGACCCACTGAATGTACACGTGAATTTGCTCAGACCCAGCAAAGGAGAGCCATCATCCCTGCAGGACCCGCCGAAGCTGGCACAGGTGTCCCATCACCGTCATGGGACCATCTCCTTGTGTTGTAGTTGCTGCAGCCTGGGGGTGACATTATGCTTGTTTTATGATGTTATCAAAGCGAAACAGAAAGCAAGAGCATATCAGCCCATAATGTGGGACTTCACCTCTGCAGGTACTTTATGGTCAAGTAAGAAATTCAAAGAGCACTTCACAATATTTATCAGAAGTTATCAGGAGAACCTCATCTCTAACAATCATTATTTGTCTCTCAGGCATCATTTTTCTCCTGAAAAATCAAATCAAACAAGAAACTATTTAGTGAGCACCTACTATGAGACAGGTACTGTCCAATCCAGCAAACCTTCTAGGATGTTTTTTTCATTGTCATCTTTTCTTTCTTCAGATATTTAAGGTAGGGATCAGAATACTTCAGTTTTCCCTTTAAGCAGTTTTATTATTTGCAACGTCCTCAGAAGTTTAACACTTTAATGGGTACCAAGAGCTTTCTGTGTAGATTTTTGTTTTGTTTTTTTTCTTGCTGCTGTTGTTTATTACCCAAAGCATTCCTTTTCTTTTCCTGCTCTCTGATTTTTAGGGAGAAAAAAAAAAACCTAGCATCTGGGGTCTGAGACCACTTGAAACAGTCTGGGCTGGGACTGCTAATGACCTCCCAGAGATAACCCAAATTGCTGATTTAGCAAAGCCCATTCTTGACCTTGACACAAGACAAGACAGGCAAAGGGGAAGGACTTGGGAGGGGGTCGTGAAAGAAAAAGGATCATAGAAGCGCTCAGATCTCGCCAAGCCCCCTCCCCCATTCAGCAAACACCTGGCTGAGTTGGAAAACATGACCGGTCCAACCTTCCTATTGGCACCAATTGAAGCTGTCAGCTCTCGCTTGTCACCAGTTGCACTGGGAGGCCCCGGGCAGCCACAAGAGCCCTAATTAGGCAGAAATGACACTTCTACAACTGACCTGCCAGGACCTTTGGCAAACCATTTAACATCATTAGTTAACATTTTTTAAAAGTGTGAATGTAAATGAACAGCCAGTGGCTTTCAATGGAGTTTGTCGGTGGCATCTCCCCCCTCCTTACTCTTTCTCTTTTTACATGAATAGTCCACTTGTTTTCCCCAGAATTGGAGGGAGGCACCGAGGAAGAAGGAGGAAGAGGACTGGTCCTCTGAGCTCAGAGACATGTTAGAGCATAAACAAGCTCAGAACAGCAGAGAGACCACCTCTTCCTGCCTTTATAAGGGCTTGAACAGAGACAATCTCCCAGGGCCACCTGAGCAGAGCAGGGAGACGGCATGACACTCCCACACCCCACCCCCGAGGCCAGGCTGCAGCCAGGTGCCCGGCACTCATGAGTGTGGCCAGCCACAGCCCCAAGAGTCATCTCCTGGCTCAAGGGTACCTCTGAAATACCCTCTTCCAAACCTCTTCTGACTCGTTGGCATTCTCAACAGCAGACTATGTGGCTGTGACTTAGCAAATGTCTTGCATGTGACAGTTCTTATGTACCCAGTCCCTCTGGGAAGGTGCACAGTTCTGGGGGTGGTTTTCTCAGACACCAGTTGGATACTTACACAAATGAGCTCATTTCCTACCTGCAGCCGTTATTTCCCACCTCGAATCACACTTCATTTTGTTCTTTGCTTTACACCCACAGAATCCGTACACGCCAACACTCTCCATCTGTGGGAGGGGAAAAGAGTTTCACCGTGAACAGGTCATTTTGTCGGTTTCCCCCATAGCTCAAAAGTCGCCCACTCCTGCTGGCTGACAGTGGGGAGAGGTGGAGGAGAAGACCAAGTTGAGGGGGACCGCAGAGGAGGTGGGCTCCTAGGGGGCCTTTGCACTTACCACCCACTTGTTGTTGTGTGGCCTTGGGCAAAGTGTTTGGCCCTGAGTCTCAGATGTTTTCATCTGTAAGACAGAGATAATGCCTCACTGTGTCAAGTGAGAAGAGAATAGATGAGTACCACGAGAACCGGAAAGCACAGTGTACCCATAAGGACTCCACCGATGGATAAGAGCTGCTAAAACCAAGGAACCGCGCCACGCTCTTGTCACTCTCTTATCCTGGAGAGATGGCATGGAGAAAATGTCCCCCTGCTTCCCCAGGCACACTCCTCCAAGTCACCAGCACATCCATCCCAGGCCCCCACCCGTCCTGTCCTCCCCCATACTCTACTTATTCTCAAAAGGGCTGTAAATACATCAAGACAAGCGCAGCTGGGTAAAAAAAATGCCTCAACACCCTGGTCCCTTAGTTAGCACAGGGCGGAGGCAGAAGCCCTGCACACAGCGGCGGGTCCATTCAGACGCACAGTGGATGTTTAACCAAGTTCAAATGCAAGAACGCAGCTTCCAGATGTGGCTCTGCAAGGGCGGCCCAGGTCCTAAATTGTGAGTTGGACTTGTCCCTGAACTGAAGATGAGTAAAACCAAGCAGGCGGTGTGTGCTGCATGCCTGTGACTAGCCGTGAGAGCGAAGCCAAAGAAAACAATCTGAGTTTGGGGCAGAAAGAGGGAAAATACTGAAAAACGTCCTTAATAACAGCAAATGGAGAGGGGGAAACTGCTCATCACGATGGAGCGTTTAGTGCTTTTAAGCTAAATACCTCAGCATATTAAGCAAATAGAGAAAAGCCAGCTAGAAGATGTCATCAAATTGAACCGCGCAGTGCTCAGAAAGCCTCTAGGAGGTGTCTGCTTTGACCCCTTTTCCCGTCACATGCCTGGTCCCAGCCTGCTTGTTTAGTATTGCCGCTCCCCTCCAGCTGCGGGGCTTATTGAAAAGCTCTCACTCCCTGCCTGGTTTTGGCACATTTTCCGCAGGTGCCTCCTACTGCGGCCACAATGGGCTGCTCGGGAGGTTTAGACCTGTCAACAGCTACAGGGGAGGAGGGGCAGGAGTGGAGGGGGCACAGTCATTGTCTTAAAGGGCCAGTGACATTGTGTGCCGCCACCGCAGAGCCTGCAGCACTGGCACCTGCTAATGAGATGAATCCTTTCTCCCGCTCCCTCTTTCTCTCTTTAATGATTTAACTTGATCGCTTTGGTTCCTTTCTGGAAGGGGAATTGCTCCATTGATCATATAAAGTAATTGCCTGTAAAACACTGCTCTGCAGCAACTACGACTACTTCCCTGGCTGAAAATGTCACAGCAATTGAAAAGCTCTTAGCCCAGTTCAAGAATGAGGTTGCTGAAGAGAACAGTCTGCATTCAGCCCCCAAGTACTCGTGTGTTGGGAGAGTTACAAGTTTTGGGGTGTGACGGATTTTTTTTTTTTTTTAAGACAGAGGGTTTACCTCTGGTGATAGGGTGTGATTTTTGCACGAGATTGTGGGAAACTCACCAGACACATCAAAACCAAAAGCGAAAACTCCCTCAACACTAAAAATCAGATATTTTCATTCAGGAAAAGAAATTGTTTTCTTAATTTCTCATGGGTTCAGAAAGACACCCCCATGGACCCAGGGCGGGTTAGGAGGAGAGAGAAGAAAACCAGACCCTTGCCCAGGAGGGGGCGGGGGCCTTGGTTTTGGAAGCAGGGAATGATGCTCTAGTTGTCTAGGGTTGATGTTTCTGACCTGTCACTTGGCGGCAGCAGCGACACACTGTGGGAACGGGGACCACACACTTGAGGAGTTTTCATAAATAGCTTTATTAAATAGTCGTCGTTGCCACGCCAATGTGAGGGAGTAATTCTCCTGGGGGAAAAATCACTTTGTGATAGGGAGGAAACTGCCGGGGGAAATAAACACGAAGCCTGTTAGTGATGGTGTCATTGTCCTCTGACAGGTGAAAGCCTCAGTTTGTATCTGAATAAGAGAGACTTTTTCAAGGTAATTGGTGGGAAGCACTACTTGCTGCATGTCAGGCTGCCAGTGACCAATTTAGGAACAAAGCTTCAGGTGAATCACCTTTCATCTGCACGAGCCAAGGGTTTTTTTCTTTTTTATTTTTGGTAGCTGATGAACTAAGGGCAGTAGATGTGCTTATTACTGTACTTTCTTAAAAAGGCAAAAACACCCATGCATTCTGCAGAGGCATAAAAAGACTGTCTACAATTATAAATCTGAAAAACCTGTAGGACTTTTTTACATTTAAACTTTGTGAAAGGTCATGGTACAAGTTCCATAATTGTACATAGGTTTTTACATTTTATTTTCTTGGATTTTAGGGACTTGGGATCTTACATTTTAAAGTCTTTTAATATTGTAAGATCATATAGGATACTCAGGGTGATTACACATACAATACCAAAATATACAACATACACTAAAATGTATTTTTTTTCTCCTATAGTGAGAATTCCAAAGGAGGGGGAGGTGTGTTTAAATTTAAGTCCATTAAGTAAACTAATTCCTGGATATGTAAAAATTAGGTTGAAACCAGAAGCTTAAATTTTAACTCTTATTGGAAGATCTTTTATTTTTGTCTGTAAAATGAAATAATAAGATATATAATTAGACAATTACTATAGAACTAGATCAAATATAGAACCAAATGACTTCAAAAGTTCTGCCTGGCTTTGAGTCCCTTATCTAAAAAACAGTTTAGACAGCCTCTTATCGAAAAAATACATTATGGGAAATAGAAGAGTGGTAAGTACGACCACAAGATTATTCTTAGCAACTTTGCCTATTAGGAGGTCAGGAGAGGAAAGTGGGTTGAGGTTAGCTCAAGAACAGGGGAGTCTGGAAGATCCTGGGGTAAAAACCAAAGGCCCACTGGCAGAGAACAGCTCAGGAAGCTGGAATGCACAGGGGAGGCCCGGGAAGGTGGCTCTCTGGCTGGGAAGGAGCCCAGGGTGGCCTGCCTGCTGCTGGCCCTTGGGCTGGGGCTGCATCCTCTGCAGGACTCTGGGAGAGAGAGTGCGTTGAAGAGGAGAAAATCAAGCCACACAAGCTCCACATCAGAGGAATGACTGTCAAATCTGACGGACGGGCTCCACTTCTGTATCATCTTCTGCTTTATTTGTGCATTAAGAGGTCTGACTAGCATCCAGAGTTCCCCAACATGAGATCCTGCTTTACAGCCTGTTCTTCACGGGACCTCTGCAGCACATTTTAGACCACCTGACTCCACAAGGCTGAAATTAACCTTTAGCTATGGAGGTTTGAACTTCATACTAAACAGGGCTTGTAAAGATGTCAGGCAGGCATTTAAAACTAAAAGAATGCCTTTTCAAATGTTACGTTATTCCTGTGCCTATGTACACCTAACTGATTAAATGTACCCAGAGTGATGAGAATTATATCCCAGGCTAATATGGGATTGGCCTGAGTGGTAACTGCTAACTCTTCCTAACTCAGACCTGTAAGTTTGCTCTGTAGTAAGAGTCACAGACACTTCACCCTGAACACTTTATTTACTTCGTATATCCATGTGTTTATTACAGAAAGGATCTCATCCACCAAAAGTTAACACATAGAAATGCTAAGATCCTTTATATAAGAAATAAAAAGCTAACTTCAGGCTGATGGGTAAGGGTACCTATCCAGACATTTGTATCTAGTATAGAAGGTTCATGTGTTTTCCAGTTAGAGAATGATGTCAGTCTGAGCTTTGCTTTGTAGCTCCTGAATGAGCACAGAACCACCAGCTCAGGGGAGAAAAAGACTGTACAGTGTTATGCCTCTGCAGAATGCATGGGATTGCTCTAGATGAAGATTTCAGCACGGCTGTGTGCTGCAGGCAGACATCACTGAGGCTGTGGGAACTCAAGCCACTCCCTCCTTCAGGAGCAGGCTTGCTCCAGGTTTCCATTCCCTACTTTTTTTTTTTTTTTTTTTTTTTTTTTTTTAGTATTCCATCTGCAAAGCTTCCAGTCTTTCAAAAGTCAGAGAGCACCGAGTAACCCAAGGAATTTCCCGTACTCTTGGTTTTCTCAGCTTGAAGCAGATCACAGCTCCCTCCTCCAATCAGATCCTTCCAGAGTTACAGCTTACTTAAAAATATCCACTTAAAATGGATGCGCTTTACGAGTATCACAAGTGTGGCTGATTCCCAGGACCAGTTACAGATGCCTCCTCTAAACAAAGCCTAAAATCTTATTTACATGTTTTGTCAAAAACAGATGAGACAGCAGGAAGTAATGAGCTACGTAATCCCCAAGCCTAAATTTAAAGAGCCAGGTAAATCTGTCATAAACGAAAGAATCATAATATGGACCAATCTGGACGTGACTGCTAAGCCTTAACCCCAGAGGACTCGGGCAAATGTGTGACATATCTGACCACCAGCCAGGGTCTAGTTTGTGCCAAGGATAGTGCTTTTTTTTCTTTTTTCCCTTGGCATTAAGGCTTGAAAAAGAATGTGAAAAGTTCAAGGCAGGCCCTTAGTGAATCTGGGTCAAACACACACACACACACACACACACACACACACACACACACACACACACACTCTTTTTGTTCTTATACAACAAATAATATTCAGGGATAAAGTCTATTGTACACATAAATCAAAAAAGTTCATATAATTCAGAATTCTTTGCTTTGATTCCATCTCTGGCTTTTGCAGATTTATAATTATCTCTCCCCAAAAGGTAACTAATTTTCCGTG